CTATTGAAATTCAATTTTAGCGCTCCTATAGCTAAAGTTGGATTTTTCTGCAAGTTCTACTACCTTTTAGTGCAATAAGGTCTACTTCCAATGAGGATGAGCTAACAGTTATGAAGGGCAGACTAAAAAATTTCGACATGCGCATAACATTGTGTGGCCTTCTTGAATCACAATTTTCGCGGCTCTCCTTTTCCAATTTTTAGAATCTTTGCTAGGAAAGCATAGAGTACAATTTGATTTTTTCTGGCAAATATATTGTGTAAATTCATCCTCTATCACCCTTATCTTAAATCTCGGCTCTAAATCGATTCTTGAAGTTATCTTTGCTCCACAGCAGTTTTTACAGTGCTCGAAGACTAAATGAGTGTGATTTTCGCAAGTAGTTAGTGTTCCAGGTACAAACCTGCTCAGCACCAGGCGAGACGAAAAATCCCCTATAGAGTGGTGCCCTCTCAGCTAAATCGTCCATAGTGACCATTCCAGATGCCACACCCGAAGCTCCAAGCATTCCTGTCAAGATGAAATGTAGAAACTTCCAAATTTTCTCTAACGCTTAATACCAGTAAACTTCATCCTTCGCATAGCATTCCACATTGTTCTTCCATTAACCAGGTTTCGAGCATCACCAGTCTCGTTCATAACCTTCTTTGCCGTAAGCGCATAAAGTTTCAGAGCGTCGAAAAGATATAAGTAGCCGTAGATATTTGCCTATAATACTTATATGGACCGTTGGTAACACGCGACATTTTCTATAAGATCCATTGAAGATCTATTTCTCACGATGTCCACATCTGCTTCCGTCAATCCAGCCTCTTTTATTAGCTCTATGAATGGTCCTACTATCGAATTATCAAAGCTGTTTACGTCGTCTATCTAAAAAAAGCATATTTGCTTCTCTTTCTTTCTTCGCCTCGCTCTATTTCCAACTAAATTTACCAACTTACTATAATAGCGTTTGCGTATTGATCCTTGACTTTTTGCAGAACAGCTCCATCAGATCCAATCCAAGGAGAAACATCTTTTCCTCCATCCTTAATCATAGCTATTATACAGGACTAATTATTGAAAGACCACCAGCAAAGCTTAATTCCACTAAGCAACTTAGGATGGCT